AACGGGTTGTGCAGCGAGTTCAAATGGGAAAACGTGGACACGCACACGGGGTGAGCACGATACCGTCCGGACGATAAACGACACCCATAATTTTTGCCCCTCCGCGTCCCGTCGTCGCGCGACACAACGCACCCGCATGATTACGCGTCGGCCGCTCGGTAACACCCAGAGATTCGTCGTGGACCGAAGTATAATTCGTTGAAAGAGCCTATTGTGAATAAATTGAGTCGGAGCAAGGATTGGGCAGCAGCCCAGAGGCGAGGTTCGACGCGGTGTTCTCTCGCCATCGCGTGGTCCGTTTTGTGCGCATGAAATTCCCACCGCGGTCTGTCTCTCCCTCCCTCTCTCTTTCTCTCTCTCTCTCTCTCTCTCTCTCTCTCTTCATCTGATACCCCGTGAACCGTCAATTTATTAATCCAACGACCGACGACACGGCTGTATGAAAGGCCTCGCCGGAGGTGTGACCAGTTCTCGCGAACGTTAAAGATTATTGTTATTATTGCCATTCAGTCTGGAATCCGCGGATCGGTCTACGGGTCACGATCGTCCAATTTTCACGAATCGTCCGTGCGATAATTGGACCAGATAATTATACAACGAACTAGCCGGCTATAATAGAACGTATTACTCTCTTGTGTGTACGGACAACACACACACACGCACACACGTACATATACAACTGGCTGGTACTTATAACCAATGGGGAACGTTCGCTTCCGTTGTAACTGGCTGCCTTTATCGTTCACACGACTGCTCGTGTACGCTCGCGTTCTGTCCGATTGCCGGCATTGTTTGCCCTGCTCGCACGAGCATAACCGCTCGCGCGGAGGATCGCGTTATCGCGTCACATCGCGTTCGAAAAGCCCGGAAAGTCGGCAACGGAATTAATCGGCGGCACACGTTGACCTCGTTATTAATCGACGAGAGTTCGCCTGTACCGATCGGCCGGCTGATATCGAATCAGCCGGCCGATTGAATTTGCGACACGCTGCCCGTTTATCAAGGAGGACAGGCGCAACACGCCAGTGCTCCGTAACTGGAATCGTCGCGCTACAGTAATTTGCGGTCAACGTCCTCCTCTCGCCGTCGACGACCGGCGATAAGGTTAATCACCGATTTTTCGAATCCGACCGTGGAACGTCGGTAGGAAGATCAAACTGTTTACGAGGGAGGACTTGATGGGAGAACAATGACGCCGGTCAGACGTCGGAGAAATATCCGTGGAAGCGGTGACAATGCGTTACGCGGAGAGACGGCAGCCGCCTCCTCCTCTCTCCTCAAACGAACGACCGCCGACTTGGCGAGAGCTCGGTCAACTCAACCCTTCGGCCGGAAGTTGCGCGCGCCGGAAGCCGCGCTAGGTTTAGACGAACGCAGCAGCGAACGATTTCGTGGGACCTATCGCGACGATCTAACGTCGGGTTTGCCCTTCGAGGCTCCGGTGCCTTCCTGAATGTATAAACACGAGGTTCGTGCACCACGAGGTTCTTCGAACCGCTCGCGCGGCGTTTGACTCTTGCGATGGGAATGACGGACGTGCTCGAGGAAGCGTCCCAATCGGTTTCCCCGTTTTTATACAAGAATCGAGAGTTTTTGACGGGGAAACGATCGACGTTTAACATTCAGTACGAATACGTTTCGTATCGATCGCGTTGACGTAACAATCGAATGAATAAGATACACGCGTGAATGGATCGGAGCAGGATCTGAAGTTGCGACGCAAGTCCATACATTTTATGTGAGAAGCGAAAGACAGTCTTTACCTTGAACGCGGTTGTTCAAAATTAGTAATGGAACGCATTTGTTAAAGTATCACACGAGTGATATAATTATATAACGTTGCATAGAAAATTATATTTATATTATGTAGTAAATTATATAATTATATCACGAAAGATATAATTTCTCTTTTTCTTTCTTTGACCTACCGATTAAATTATGAAGATAAAGTCTTTTATCTAATCTTCGTCTCCTCCGTATAATAAAGTAGCTTCGATCGATAATCGAAGAACCGTAACTCGAATCCACGGCGACTAAGTCGCAATTGCGAAAACGTCCAATTAACGCAGTTGTGACGTAACGGCGTTACTCGTAACGCCATCGGTATTTCATTCATTCGCCGAAAGCCCACGATTAAAGAAAGCCTGTCGAGCATTTAACGCGAATAACCGTGCCTGCTCGGCCTGTAAATAGAATTAACGACGCTAAGTGACGTCGTGACTGGATTTGATTCGATTAGGAAGTATTATGTATTTCGTCGATGGACTCGTGGCGGACGAAAGATGGACGAACGATGGTGTCGTTGAACTGGAACGGAGTTCACGATCCACGCGACGAACGGGGGGAAAATATATTGATCGTCGATCGTGTCTCCGTCGTTTGATTAAAGACACCCGGTGTACATTGCAATGCGTGTCACGCCCACGCTTGTATCGCGTCGGTCGTTTGTCGGATCGACAGAAATTACTTTCAATGATACGAAACATGTCGGGTTGGCAGTGAGATCACAGATAAACTGCACTCCGATAATACGCACGACGAAACTAAAAAGATATTTACCAACGTACTATTTATTTTCATAAATAAACCTGAACGTCTAGAGCTTTTATCGAAGGATTTTTTGTAAAATTGCGAGGAGGGCCACAGGGTGTGTTGTTTATAAAGTCAACGACATTCAACGAAAGAAATCGCTGAGAGAATTTTGCAAAGTCGACTGGTTGGGTAGAACTGGTTATCCTTCCATTTCCACGCGGTTCTCAGATCGGAGTAACGATAGGCGATAAACAGGAGCTCAGTTCGTAGTCAAGAAGCGTGGCGTACATCGGATACTTAACCCAGCCTATCAACCTCAGAAATCGAGACCATCAATTCCGCAACGCGTTATTGCAGTCTACGATCTTCTTTCGATACGTATCATTGGCAACTTCCGAAGAGAATTGTATGAAAAACAAGATACGTAGCTCTGGTTGTGTATATATATATATGTGTGTACATACTTTCGTGGCTCATGAAAGTACGTAAGATCGTGAAAATATTTAAGTCAATGATCTAATCTATCAACAAGCCTCAATATTGAATGGAACTATTTTAACACTCGTTGCGTATTTAACATATGGCTATAATCTCGGTACGATCGAGAGAAAATTTTTATAAAATTTCACATTTCTACGAAAATAATCATGGGTTTCACCTATTAAATATTACACAGTACTGCACGAGTACTGTGTGTCAAATGTTTACAAACACTCTAATTTAAAAAATTTCATATATTCCCATCTACTTTGTGCATTCCACGTGTTTTTGTAATTTCAAGCTTTTACGTAACATTCCGAGTCCGCGTTCGTTACAGTACCGGCGAAATATAATATTTTACATAACACGCACGAACACGCACGATTTCGCGAGCCGCCATACAACACCTCGTCAATAAGGATCGAATTCTACGTTGCTCAGTGACATAATCGGATCTCGTTTCCTGTTCGACGGATCCAGCCAGCTCGAAACTTTTTTCGCCAGGCTTTCACCTCGCCAGGGCCGGCAATTCGGTTTTCGAGTTGACGATTTTGATGGCCGATAGAAAACATCGGGGCGGCCGAACGACAGTGGCAATTTGTTATCCGGCTAGCGTATCCGTTCTAACTCGATTCCAAGTTTCTCGCGGAAGTTTTGGCTCGCGAGAGCCGAAGGCGAGAGAGCCAGCCAACAACGAGTTGGCTCGCGATGCGCACGAGTAATACGGTCCCCGCTGGTCGGTGCAGATCGGTTGGATTGCGTCCAACCGAGCGAGCGAACGACAACGGGCACGGCAAGTAGAACTCCGGATATGTATAATGCGGCAAAATGTGCTCGTGGAAGATGCTCGTACGGACCGTTATGCCCTCGAGTTTCCCATGTGCACGCTACTATGTACGTGATTCCTCCCATATTCACAGACCAATGATTTATATGCTAATTCCTGTACTGGAACACGATCCACGGGAGTCCGTGTAGAAACTTTCACCGCGTCGAATGTCGCGAACTAGCGCCGATCGTTCACCTTGAACGCTCGGTAGAAACGATTTTGAATAATTTGCGGATAAGTGGGGTAATGGCGGCCGTTTCGTTGGAATTCCACTGCGAGTAGGATTTTTACTTACAGCGTATCGGGCAAAAGTTTGATCGGGCTCGTGTTAAATTATTAAAATTTGACGCGATGGAAACTAGTGATAGGAAAGTACGTCAAACAAAATTTACAAAATTTAACTCTAAACTATAAATTCCACTGGCTCAATTAAAGATTAACACTTGGCTATACTATACAACCGCAGACAAAAGAAATTCTTTAGACAAGTTAACTGATACTCGAAATGATAATACTGATTTTAAAAGATTTGTGATATATATATATGTTCCACAAGAACATTTATATTTCTTTTAAAATATCTTACCAGTCAAAAGTTTCCATGTGCGAAATATATATTATTATGGAGATTTAGTAACTCGAGTGCTGGCTCAAAACCTTATTTGAAGAAAAGTTTTTGGCCGATTGATGTACTTTCCAACAATATTTGAAGAGCAACAATCTAAAATCAACAGTTTGATTCAACGTTCTGAGAAGGAGCTTTGTTCTCAAGAGTCGAGTCGTGGCTCGAGTTTTGACACGCCGAGAGCAAGAGCAAACGTACTATTTGGCTAGAGCATGGAAGACCGCTAAGAGTCTCCATTTTTAGATCGTGCGAAGAAACGCCGTATACACGGGAGATGCTAACAATAAGTTATAGCGGAGAGCGCGAAGCTGGAAACCCGTGAGTTAGTCATCGGACGTGCATTTGCGTCGCACGTTTCCAGCATCGTTATCATGGCGGTCGTGAATTTCAACGACAAAGATATCTCTAGCCGTGGCGTTGGATCGAGACGCTTGTAAAATCGTGACGACGCTTGTATATCCTCGTTTCTGCATCGCGTTCATCACGCAGGTTAGTCACGAATGGAGGATGGATACTTGGTTTTGTTTCATTCACCTGATCGTCAGAGAAGACACACTTGACGTTAATCCAGCGGTGCGCCTTGACGGTGCAGTTGCAGCCGTCCATCGCGCATATCCCAGGCGGTGCACTCTCGACGTTACCAGACAGAAATACCAGACACCACAAGAACACCGACCATACGATAGCACGATCACACTTTAGCCCGTTCAGGGCACTGAACACTCTTCTTCTGCCGCTCATCTTCCTTGATCCAACACGACGATCCTCCAAGGGAACAAAAGACCGTGTTGTTCGACGACCGCGATCGATCGTCTTCGATTCTCTCGCGCGGTGATCTTCCTCACATCGTTTACCGCGCACCGTTACTCGAACGCCGGCCACACTTTCATCGATCTGGATCCTCCTACTCCTCCTCGAGATCACATTTGTCTTCGCCGCCGGCAAGCTTGTTTCTCCTAAGAAACTAACTTCTTTTAAATACACTCTACTTAATGCTCCAAAAGATGAACAAAAATCAAGACAGGCACTAGACAAGTCGTTTCTGGACTTTAACTGGAAATATCGATCCTTACGGAACGGGATTTCTTTGGATCGATCGATGGGGGGCTGGAACTACGTACTCGCGTAGAGACAGTGAAAGAGATCAGAAGTGGACGGAAAATTGCTCGAGCGGATACCCGCCGCGAGCTAGTCCAAACACGCGCGCGGACGGCGGCTTGTTTCCGATGAGGTGGGGCAACTAGAAGCCAGCTGACGCGATCATGACGGAGGTTGCTTTCAAACTGTGGTCGGTGGCATGCACGATCGGTGTCTCCTCCCCACCAAGAACCGTGTGTTCCTTCGTTTGCCTCGCTCTCTTGCACTCTCCCTCTTCGGCCTTTTAAAAGATAAAAGCCAGGCCACGAAGCGCGTTCGAGTGGTCGGAGGGGACGAACCGCCTGTGCGTTCGACACCGGTTCGACGAGGTTCGTCCTGTTCGGGACGCAACGCAGTGGGAAGGGCTTGGTTGGCCGATCGAGTCGGAACACCGGTTTTCGGTGCAAGTCGCAGGGTCGCTGGACTTTCTACCTTCCAAGGGCTGGCCTTGACCAAGTTACCGAACCAAACAGCTCTTGTCCATCGCGAATCACGAATCCTCGTGACCGTGCATTTACGTAACGCGGTTACGCTCGTGGGAGAGCGATCGTACCTGTTGACGCGCGATTGATATCGGCTCGTATTTTTCCTCATTTGTTTCTTTTCTCATCTGTCCGGATATACACTCCGACAAATTATACCCGCTATGGTTTCCTTTCTGTTATTTTGATCGGTTTGAAGTTGAAGAACGAGTCGGTCGACGGTCGTGACAGTTACCGGGGAAACATGAACTTCGTGGAACTGAAAAGTGGAAGACATTGAGACATTCATTTCTTCCTCGTGTCTTAACGACGCCAGTAATCTAAACCTCGCTCGCAAGATAAACTAAAGTGAGACTGCTAAAAAGAGGAAGACACTGAGAATTTTTTTTTTTTTAAATGTTCGAAGGTAACTTCACCTTTTCAAGTTCTAACGATCACTCTAATTTAAAACTCGCTTTTGCGTACGGTTCGTAATACGCTGGAAGTGGAAAGATGGAAGAACGCGTCAGCGATGGTATCTCGCCTCGAAGATTTCGCTATCTGTTCGCAGAAAACTCGAAATCTAACGCGAGACCAGCGCGGCCGGACCATCGTAAAACGAGATGAGATCCAGCCTCTCGTGAACCGTCTCTTCATAGACGCGTCGCTTTTCATGGTAGACAGCGTTTCCCTAAAGCGTCGTGCCATCGTAGCTCTTCGCTTTATGAGCACAAGGCCTGGCCATTTAATTTCCCATGAGAAATTGCGCGTGTCCGTGCAACTTCGGGCTCGTTGGCGTCCCGCCGCGTCCGCCGTCACACATGCGAAACGTCCATTCATTCATAACGCTCTTCTCAAACCAGGAAGCACCTGACGCCGGCCGAAGTGGCCATTTCCGAAATGACCACGTGCTGACCATACGTCACATCGGGACCGACCTTAAAGCCGCACTTCCAATTTCCATCGCGGACGATCCTGCTCGTGGACAAGCTCCTGCTCGAGGGCTGTTCGACGTCGTTTCAACGTTCCTTCCATCGATCTTCCTCCATCTCGCATTACTCGATGGTGGATCGAGACCTACGTCAAGGATGTTCCACGGTCCGCGTGTCGGCGAATACGTATCGACACGTATGACGGATGACTTTTCACTAATGCCTAAATTCTAGCCATCGGATCGTGACGGACGATCGTTGGGATTGTTTGATACGTCCGATTGTTTTCCTCCGAGTTCACAAAAACTGTGACATTGACGTCACTGGGCTAGTTTGGAAATTGGGACAATTTAAGATCGGGTTACTTGGTTTCAAAGTTTATTACTCATTAAAGATAGAAACTCTCAACTTTAGCTTTAACTTTCGTTAAATCTCCAATCGTGATTCTTTCTTTTCAAAAATCGGATCGTTGCTCTCAGCTACTCAAAATTTAGAGATCCTCGCGAACAAGCGAAAGAGTAGAGCTCGAAGCGAGCGTAACTTCCTTGCCGAGTCGAGTTTCGATCCGCGGCGAGTCTCGCGGCGGATATACCGGTTTGGCCGCATGTTTCTTTGAAAGTGACTGAGCACGATGCCTTCGAAGAAGTTGTTCTCGCCGCTTCGTCGAGACTAGGCGTCTCGGAATCGGCGTGGAAGCGGCGATAGGGTATAGGTAGCGGACACGTCGCAGCAGGCGAGCGACGGTGGACAGAATTGTGACGTGATTGCGCTTTATTAGGGATGAGTCCGATGATACTAGGGGAAAACAGCGATTGTCTGGCTGCCAGAGGAGCATCGTCCTCTGCTCGTGATTTACCCAGGCGAGATTCACGAAACCGAGCACCAATTAAGAGTATCGCAACTGCGAAACTCGTTCCAACGATGATCCTGACCTCTTTCGCATTTTTATCTACGAAAATTCACGCGCCACTTCGGATTTCACGGTTCCGAGCTCGGTTGTGCAACCAAACAACGTGAAATTTAATTATACAGAAGATACGCGAAAAGTTCCTCGAGGATTTCAGAGTTTTAAGTAATGAAATAGTAGTTTCTCATCGGAGATTTGTTAGTTTATTAATTTATTACGCTTTGTTTCGTTGAGAAAGCGTGGAAGCTTTTAGAATTTCTTTCTTCAAACGTAGGATTCCGAAATCTTTAAGAGGAAAATTACAGCTATGGAAGACTTTGAGATTTCTTACTTTATTAACTTGTTTCTTAAATTTTGCTTGACACAGTAACGTAACCGGTGAATTTTCTTTATCCACAGTGGTCACTCGAACGAACGACTCTTTCTGCGAGACTTCGTATCATGCTCAGCCGGCACCAGCGGCGGCCGTTTGGCAAGATGGTTACAGCCAGACAGTTTCGTGGATCCCTCGAAATGCGAGGCACTTTACTCAAAGGACGAAATGAAGTGCGGATGCCCGGCCATCGTTACCATACTCACCAGAGACCAGTACGGAGATGTTGTTTTTGTACCCAATTTGAAGGTACAACGTTAATTATTCTCTGTTCGGCAGCAAATAATCCCTCCAACTTTCAGAGCGTTCGCGGCAAACTACGCTAGTCGTTTAGTTACTAACAAACATCGTTTCTGCTTATAATCCACCAGGTGGAAGTGAAGGCAGTACCCATAGACAAGAAAGACTTGGGAGATGCCGACCGTGTTTCCCAACTTGATCCAATGACCTTTGGTGGCCACCCACAACCACCCTTGGACGTTCCTTACGAAGTCACCATCAACAACAAGACCTGTTTCTACGCGATCACCGTCATGAAAGCTTATCAGAACTACTCGTTCGAGGAATTGAGGTTCATGTCACCGGCTCTGAAAAGATCAAGCGAGAGCATGCTGGTCAGACCGAACGGCGATGGGAGTTACAGCGCGACGTGGACGCCGTCGTCAATCGGATGGTACTCTCTCATGGTCACGGTCGATGGATACAATATGGAAGATGTGAGTTCCTTTCAGTTTCACCGTATCGACTTAAAGATAAGTGAAGTAAGTTTCTATTTTACTCTCGTGCACAGTGGATCACAGAGATGCTTTAATTGCTACGATTGCTAACTTTGAACTTTGATTGATGTTCCAAGACTCGTATCAATGAGGATATTAATTAACTGAGCTTAATTGTTTCAACATATATCAGCATCGTCATTTAAAAGAATTTTGAAGTTTGTATTGTAAAATTCCCAAAATCAATAATTAGAAGGGCTCATACGTATGACATACTAATTTTACTTTTCTCTGAACACATTATTTTATCAAAACAATGATAATGATATATATCAAAAATATATATCAGAAAAATAAATGTCATAGAGCTTTCGATAAATATACCTGTGCACTACAAAATAATATAACCTTCTCAAAAGAAAGAGAAAAAGAAAAGAAATATGTGAAATTGTGCAAGGAACGGAGACGAGGATGAAATTCCATAAGGTTCGCAAATTCGTCTTTCAATATTTCTCTTGTTCGTTTTGCAGAAATATAAAGTAGAAGTAAAAGAATCGCCGCAGGGTATGCAACCGCCTACTCAAAACATCGTGAAGAAGCCGCAGCATCAGCCGAGCAGATTGAGAAAATTCGTGGCTAAGAACAGCGCCGGCTTGAGGATCAGAGCGCATCCGTCTCTACAAAGCGAGCAAATTGGCGTCGTTTTGGTTAATGACACCATAGCATTCATAGACGAAGTATGCGATTCTGCTTCTTTCGCGCAGTTTCAATTCTCTCGAACACGTTATTACGTGGGCTTTTATTGAAACGTCCTATCCCCGCGTTTTGTTATTCCGTTTGCCGTAGATTCACAACGACGACGGCGTTTGGCTGCGATTGAACGCGGAGACGATAAAGGAATATTGCAGCAGCAGTCATCTGGAGGCCTGGTGTCTCCAGTATAACCAACATTTAGGGAAAACTTTACTCCTACCCGTCGAAGAGCCCAAGTCGATTTTAGATCAAGTGATCAAAGAAACCATTCTGCGCAAACGACCGGAAACTGTTGACGAGTACGTGAATCAACGAGTATCGGAATCAGCGAGTTTGCCGAGACCTCTGTTTTCGATTTCGTAATCGTGCGATTGTTCGTTTCAGTAAAAGGAAAACGGTGACGTTCGACGGTGGTCGAAACATGGTCGTCGTAAAGTGCGGTGCTTCCGGTCACAATATTAGAAGTAGGCCGGGTTTAAATGCTGCACCGGTAGGGAAACTGGCTCTTGGCAACATGGTCACCATTCAGGAATATGTATGCTCTAGTATTATCCTTTTATACACCTGTTCCTCGATTTATGCGAACTATTTGTTCCGCGCTCAACAGAACCGCAAGCATGGAATAAAATACTGGAGAGAAAATATTGAACACATTTTCAAAAAAAAAAAAAAAAGAATAATAATGATTCTCTGATCGTGCAAAAAGAAAATCTGCGTAAAGCATCGTGTAAATCGAAGAATACGTAATAAGAATTTAACGAATGTACAATTAAACAATGTTTGCCGTGCAGTTTGTCAACAACGAAGGCACCTGGGTACGCATGGACGACGAATCGATGGCGAAGTACTGTTTCCGAAAGGGTCGAGCGCCCGAGGGTGAAGCCTGGTCCCTTGCCGTCAGCAAACACGGCATTACGTACATGAAGATCGAGCAGGACCTGGAGACCGACCCGATGGAGAAAAAACCGGCGACAGCGGACTCGTCCGAATCACCGAATCAGAAAGGTTTCGACTTCTCCGTGCCTTCTGTGAGTCATGAGGGCTTCAATTTCACCGGGCAAAATTTAACACCAGGTACAGCAGAATCTGGAGAGGGTAGTAATACAAATCCATTCGTTTTTGGTTCATACAATCAACACGATTCACCAGGTATTGCGTAAAAGCAATGCGCTCCGGCGAACGTAGTGCGTTGTATTATCTGTTTCTCGTCTTGTGTGCGCTCTAGGAAGCGAGAGGTTCACACCGGAGAGGGCGGACGTTTCGCCAAAGTTCTCCAAGCCGCATTCGAAGGAAAGGGTGGTGAAGGAGAGGGAGCGAGAAGGGGGCGGCGGGAAACTGAGCGTGCTGCAAAAGTGGTTGAGAGGCGACGACAAGTGCCACGGGGAGAAAAGAAGCTCGCCTGGCAGGTGAGCAAAGGCAAACAAGAGGCAAGACGCGCGCAGTTAGACTAGTTTCGTTATATAGTTTTGGCATTTGCAGGGACTTTTCCGAATTTGTCGGAGTGTCCGTGAAGGAGCTGGTGAAAGCGATTGGGGAGAGCCGAGCGAATGGTAACGGGCCCACGCCACCAGAGACACCGAGGAGGTTATCGAGAAGCTCGTCGCCAAAGAATCCCCAAGGTGGGTCACCGCGATTTCAGAGCCCGTCCTCTAGCCCGGTTCCAATACCTGGTACGTATGCGCTATTTACGAGACAAAACGAATATATACTCTACGACAGATCTACTATCGATTTACATTTACTTTTCTCTCTCTCTCTCTCTCTCTCTCTCTTTAACTTGTAATCTCATTATTAATCTCATACATTCATGTGTGTGTCTTACTTCACACTTTTGGCACCATAACCGGTCTGAGGAGGGAATCGTTTCAGAAGCTGAGAGACCCGATACTGATACTTGTAAGATTGCGTATAGCGTCCCGCAGATATATTTTTCTTTCTTACTCTTAATCCGTGAAATGGACGACGATTTAGAGAACCATTAAGTTTGAATAAGTCACACCTCCTTTCTCTCCGATTAATACTAATATCTAGTCGACGAACGAACGACCTTAGGATGTTAAGTATATACAGATCTTTGTTGGATTAGTTATAACAGAATAGTGATGTTGCTCTTAGCTGGGTCCAGTCGGCAGCCAGTTGGTTCTGGTAATTGCCTCTTTCCTCCTGCTGCTCATGCACCAGGTACTCGCTCCTTTCCTTACTCGACACATAATCCTCAGTCTATACAGTTAACAATATAGTGTATAGTGTTCAATGTTGTTCGGTACACGTATCACCTCGAGATACACCTCGATTACTCTTGTCGACTACACACCGTAATAGCACCGTAGATTTCTCTTCTTGTTGATATATAAACACCACGTACGATCCAAATGCATGCAGTATGTTAATCAATGTGTAAAACGAAACTGATCAGTTGTTGCACGTACAAGTACACTTTTACAAGATAGATAGAGATCCGAATAGTGCACATTGAGAGTATACCTATTGAGAGTTTAGCAATAAATCATATAACACGTTACATACGAATTCTATAACTAATAAAAAACTTATCAGGTGGGAGAAGTTTAATAGGAGGGGGAGATAGTATCAGCAGCAGCCCTGTGCTGTGTGGCTCCCCCCGAAGTGTCGGTCTCTCCCCGTTAGGTAAGGATAATAACACACCGTTAATACTCTGTAACTTTACACTAACAGAAATCTAGTTGGCATTCGAACGATTACTTTGCGAGTTACAGTTGCACAGAATACATTGTTCAGATAAATTCATTGAAATTTCAGCCGTTTCATTCACTCACTCACAAAGTCGCACGAAGTTACGTTGCACGAAGTTCTTTGCGAATGTTACATTTTTCATTCTTTTTTTTTCAATATATATACATACTGCCGCTGAAAAGTATCTAGACACTTAGCATTTTTATGAAATCGGTGATATGTTTGATACATAATATTATTGTTAAATAATGTTTATTATTAAATTAATAGTAATATTCTAATAGTATTAAACTGAACAATTTAATTATTTAATTACTAAATGTAAATTTAATCGACAATCTTTTAAGTAAATAAATGTTTATTCGATGCGTCTAACAGTAAGACCACTGTAAAACTAACAAACAGTGAAATTATACCTCTACAGGCATAAGGTGGATGTGTAGATGAGAAGAAGATACAGCTACTTTTTATCATTATTGACGAAATATTTAATAAAGCATGAAATTTATTCAAATTTATCAAAGATTTCATATCTTTTCTCTGATTGTTATAAGAACTAGCAATATGTGTATGTCCACGTACTTTTGAGCGGCAGCGTATATCCATGGTTCACGAAAAGCAAGGTAAACTAAAGACATCCTTGCGTTAGAGAAAAGAATGATTAATTCCAAATATATTGGGAGAAACCAAAATTGTTGTCCACGAAGTCTTTGTCTTTCCTTTTCAAGTTTCTGGCGGAATGATAGACAGCGTGACATCGCAACGACGGGGATCAACGCAAAGCGACACAAGTGCCTTGGTCAGTAGTCTAACGAGGGATCCTTCGCAATCTCCGAGTGCTGTCAGCACAACCGCCAATACTCGTGACCTCTCTCCGAGCCCGAGTTGTAGCTCTTTGCACATGAGGTCCGAGGGTAGTATAGCTAGTCCACCTGATACTCCGAAACAAGAAGCTGGAGTAAGTAAAGAAACACCCTCGTTTATTCTCGTTTAATAAAAGCCACGCCGAACTAAAGCGAGTCATTTGCTTTTGTCAAAGGATTCTCAAGAAAGTCCGAAGAAGGTTTCCCAAGCGCAAACGCAGACGAGTCCGGAGAGCGCGACTACAGCTATGAAGGGACACTTCAGTATCGGTTCCACCGGACCAAAAGACGGGGTGAAGTTAACCAGAAGAGATCACACGAAAGTAGTGAAAACCAGAACGAAACGCACCATGTCTCCAAGCAACACTCAACAGAGCGCGAGCACGAGCCGAACGTTGAATCTGAGCAAAGACAAGGTGAAAGAAGCGATCAGCCCGTCGGTGGCCGAGTGTTTGCGAGCGGTGTTTGCAGCGTTCCTCTGGCACGAAGGGATTGTGCACGACGCGATGGCTTGCGCCAGTTTCCTCAAGTTTCACCCTAGTTTACCGAAGCAGGGCGCGCTTGTCGTGACCAGGCAAACAGTGATACAATCGACGGACAAACAGAAGCAAGAGCAGAAAGCCAGGCAAAGACACTCGGTCGAGGTGATCAACGCTGGCAACTACTTGTATATACAGCCGAGCACCGTCGAAGCTTTGACACGGTCCGCCGCGAATGCCAATGCAAACAGAAATAGAAAGAAACAGAAAACAGTCATCAAAGAGGAGGTCCCGGAAAGCGGGAAGCTGGACTCTTTGCCGGAATTTCAAACGGTCGCGGTGTTGCCGCCGGCTTTGAAGAGTCTTGTGTTCTTGTGGGAGGAACTTAGCACAAATTGCCTTCAGACGATACAACAGCGCTCGGTGTTGCCAAGTCCGATATCGCAGATACAAACGATGAAGTTGGGAAAACGACCGGAGAAACGACCGCGTGAAGATAAACTGAAGGAACGCGAGAAAAAAAGCAGCAGAAAGAAGAAGGAATGGAAGCCAGTCGGCAGAGGAAATGGATCTGAAGTTCTCGGAGGGATAGAACGAGAAACGATTTGCGAACTGTGCGGTTTGATGTTTCCTCATCCGGTAACGTATCATATGAAAATGATGCATCCCGGTTGCGGATGGCACGCAGGAGGGAAAGGCTACAACAGTGGAGGGAACTATTGCATCGGTTGGGCGGGCAATTGCGGCGATGGCGGAGTTGGTGGAAGTTCGTGGTATCTTATCTGTGATACGTGTCGTGACAAATATCTGCGAGCGCGGAAGCTCAAACTCGCGAAAAAGTTCTTGACCGGAATGACGAAAAAGAAGAATGGTTCTTCCAAAATCGTGTCGCCAGTTAGTAGTCCTAACGAAAGCGAGACACATATAATCATGAAGAACAACGCTATGTTTCTCTTAGACTTGGCTAGCGCGTCCGGATTGAACATTCCGAAGCAACAGAGACGGCCATCGCAGACGTTGTCGTCTGTAGCAGAAAATTACAGCCCTCCAGAGGCAGCTGGACCATTTCCACCGACTGGACCCTTTCAGTGTTTGCAAGCTTTAGGGGTTCATCATTCGCAGAGTCACGATGAAAGATACTACGAGGAGACTTTAAGACGTCAGAACGGGCAACAGACTGGCTACGATGGGGGCAACGTCATGGCTAATACTACGAATGGAAGGGTAGGGAATTTTTTGTTTTTCTTTTCATCTAACATTTAGTTGACTGTTAACTGTGACCACTTATTATTCTGTAGCCTTTGTCGGAATGTCCTAGTGATAATGACAGCGAAAGTGGGAAAGGCCGTGGAATATTCCATCGATCTGTATCGATGTCTACTGGTGCTCCGTGGGCACGAAATTCAAACGATGGTAGAGTTGTCATTATGCGAAAACGAAACAACAGTAGCAGCGAAATGAATACTGGTATGTGAACAACAGAATTGCAGTATTGTATTAATGATACTAAAAGTATTCTTTGTTTCATAGACGCTGGATCGTCTCTTTTATGCTATCCTTCTGCCGCGCTACAGAAGTTAGTACCATCCATGAATCAATCGGCAATTGTCTCGACGAGTCAAGACGAAATTACGAATAACGAAAGAATAGAAATCCTTATGAGACCTGTGATGTTGTTTGTTCTGCAACAACATAATTTGCAACACCTACAACTTGCAATGAAACAAGCATTAAGACGTGCTGCTTGCAGAGTTTACGCGATGCAAGCATTAAATTGGCTTCTAAGAAGTGTAACACAGCCTATGTGCCTCCATGATTTGCTATGGTGGTTCGTTGCCTCTCTGACACCCACAGTGCCGCCTGAAGTTCCAGATGCGACTGATGAAGATAATAAAACCGACAAAAAGGATGACCATGTAAGTATATTGATTTGTTAATACTGATGCTACAATCAAATTTTGTATTGTAGCTTTCTTTTATAATTTCTGTACCATACAGTGAGGAGGAGCTATCAAACTAATTAATTTCTTTCATAAACATAAATAATATTTTATAATTATCATTATATAAATTTTTTTTACAAACGAATGCTTTTATATTTGTATTTTAAATGTATGTAACACGAGTATATTGTCATAGCAGTGCACTTTATTTTTCAGGAAATGATCGGTGTATGCGAGCATCCCCTAAGCGATCTTGTGATAGCAGGTGAAGCTGTTAATCCATTACCAACTGTATTTCATACTTTATTGCAAACTATAGCGGATTTGATGCTTTTACCGCCACCTGGTACGTGTTTTGTACTACCGGCAATATCATCGATATTCTCTATGGAAAATTTTATATTTTAATGGATTAATTCCTAGGTTCCCCTTTGCAACAAGCTGCCATTCGGTGCTGGGGCATCAAGTTTACACCTGCGGATCACATGTTCCTTCACAGAAGTCACGTTTTCAATAATATTAGCAAAATACTCTCCAGATCCGAGGAGGAAGAAGACGTGACAATGAGCATGCATGAAAGCCATCAATCGAATCATTCTCAACAAGTCAGCAGCTGCGTGGAAGTTTTAAAGGATTTAACTTCCGGCGTTGAAATTAAAGCCTCGAGTAGACAAGCTATGATAGGTAGCTTAACTGATAATTCGACGGAAACTTTTTGGGAATCTGGCGACGAAGATCGAAACAAGACCAAGACGATCACCATCATTTGCGTTGCTCATTCTCTTCCCCGGATAGTGTACATTCACATAGACAATTGTCGTGACTTAACGGTGAGTTTCGTCATAAATTCTAACTCTTTCACGAATGTCTTTGTACTCATTATACTTATGTTACAGCACAAAGTGTCTAGTGTTACATTTCAGTCGGGTAATAACGTAGATGAGATGATCAAATTGAGAACTGTGGAGGTTGAAAGTCGATTTGCCGGTTGGATTAACTGTCCGATTACTGGTACATCATATTACATATTCATATTTCAATATAATCGTTGTATTTGTTATTTTACTGTTATTTGTATTTTCAATGTTTGATGTTACTTTATTTTATAGATCCACGCCACGTTATTGTTGGTCTTAAATTGAAAGGTCCAGACAATTCTTTGCGAGTGCGACAAATACGGATGTTAGGTGAAGTCGAAGGTGAATCTTCGAAAATCGGCAAACATTTGAGTGCACAGACGATTCAGCAAAGAAATTGCGAAGCAGAGACGTTAAAAGTGTTCCGTTTAATTACATCTCAAGTGCGTTAATTACGTACCATATGTAATTTATATATTTTAAAAAATTAATTTATGCTTTTTTGTTCGTCAGGTGTTTGGCAAGCTTATACAAGGTGAACAACAGCAACAGCAAACAGATACTACGGAAGGAACTAACGAAGACTTGGAGGATAGTAATGATCTTCGCGAGCACATGGTCGGAATTTTATTCAGCAGAAACAATTTGACACATTTACAAAAACAAGTTTGTACACATATTGTTCAAGCAATTCAAAAAGAAGCTATTCGGCTGCGAGAAGAATGGGAAGCGCTATTATGCTCTCCAACTCCTGCTAACAGTTTGTTGAGCGATAACAGTGATCTGCCTAAAGCAGCTGATACGTATTGCTTTGAAATGCTATCCATGGTGCTTGCCTTAAGTGGTAGTTCGGTAGGACAGTATTATCTGTCACATCAGTACGGATTATTGAAAGATTTGTTGAGTTTGTTACATACTGGATCGGCAAGAGTGCAACGTCAAGTATGTAATTCGTTTCTTCTACATCCCAATATTTACGTTTGCATTATGTCTTTTAATATTATGTTTAATCATTTAGGTAACAGCTTTGCTGAAGAGAATTTTACCAGAAATTAAGCCAGAAATACTAGCTAGTGTCATCAATGTCAAACGATTACCACCGACTGATTTTAGTATTATATCCGCGGCAAATAATGATTTTTCACAGAGTGCTGAATTTGACGAACATTCCCCAGGAATTCTCGACGTATTCTTAAGTTGTATTGCTAAGGCGCTGTCAGTTCAAGTTAAAGTAAAGGGAAGAGAAAACGGTAAAGCTTTGCAGACTGTTTCGTTAGCTACCAGTATTCATCCAAAAAGTCAAGTCGGAGCAAGATGGTGGTTAAGAGGATGTATGACTCGAAAATTAGCAGAAGTGATTATTCAACTTTTGAAAGATATGGCATCGGTACGTATTAAACGGTTTACCGGTGAAATATTCAGCTCAATATTTATTATTTTATTTTTTCGCAGGGAAAATTATCAGAAGCTTGGGCGTCAGTGACGAAAGCAGCAATAGCGGAAAATATTCTAAATCTTACCAGATTGGATGAAAAGAGCCGTGACCCAACTGAATGTCTGAAAACTCCAACACTGTGGCTTGCTCTCTCTTCCTTGTGTGTATTGGATTCCGATCATGTTGAGAGATTGTCCTCTGGTCAATGGAGTGGTACTGAGGGACAACCACCACCACCTAGGGTAAGAGTATTGAAACAATCTTTAATAAATTGAATATTTAATATATGTATATACACTATTAATGATAAAATATACACAATGTATTTAATATTTCTTTAGCCAACATGCAGTAATCACGATGACGGCGAAACAACAGCAATCATTCAATGCAATGTATGTGGAAACTTATGCGCAGAATGTGATAGAATTTTGCATTTACATAGAAGAACACGAATGCACATAAGACAAGTTTGCAAAGAGGAGGAAGAAGCGATACGCGTAGATCTTCACGAAGGTTGTGGCCGCACGAAATTATTTTGGATTTTGGCTCTAGCTGATAGTAGAACGTTAAAAGCCTTAGTAGAATTTCGAGACGGATCTCCTAGGAAACCTGTTGGTGCTACGTCTGGAATTTGTCGATTTTGTGGTACTACTGGTAATACAGGTTTGCTGGCAGTAGGAAACATATGTGCAGATCACGATTGTCAGGAACACGGTAAAAATGCGTGCAGCAAAGTACACGTATGCGGACACATCTGCGGAGGTGTTCGGAACGAGAGTAGTTGTCTACCCTGTCTACATAGATGTCTACCAGGCAGTGATTTGAAGCAAGATGCTGACGACATGTGCATGATTTGCTTTACCGAAGCTTTGTCTGCTGCGCCTGCGATTCAGTTACAATGTGGTCACGTTTTCCATTTGCATTGCTGTAGACATGTTTTAATGAAGAGATGGGTGGGACCTAGAATAACTTTTGGATTCTCTCTTTGCCCAATTTGTAAAGTTCCGATGGAACATCCTACTTTAGCTGATCAATTGACTAGTATAAAGGAACTTTATGAAGATGTTAGAAGAAAGGCTTTAATGCGACTAGAATACGAAGGATTGCACAAGTGCGTACAAGTTATTTATACCGAATGTTGGATAGTAGATAGAAGAATATCTAGGATTACATTTCTACACGATTATTAATTATTATAGGGCGGAAGCAACATTTGGAGGAAGATATCAGCAAGATCCTGCTGCATATGCAATGGAACGTTATGCATATTATGTCTGTTACAAGTGTCAAAAGGCCTATTATGGTGGCGAAGCACGATGCGATGCGCAAGTAGGCGGAGAAACGTTTGATCCCACAGAATTAGTGTGTGGAGGTTGCAGCGACGTGGCAAGGGCTCAGATGTGTCCGAAGCACGGAGCAGACTTCCTAGAGTATAAGTGTCGTTATTGTTGCTCGGTGGCAGTCTTCTTTTGCTTTGGAACTACACACTTCTGTAACCCCTGCCACGACGACTTTCAACGAGTCACCACCATTCCAAAAGGCGAATTGCCTTCCTGTCCTGCTGGTAAGTCTTTGAACACAATATAATTTTATTGCATAGTTTGTGTTACAAATATCATATAAATTTTATCAGGACCTAAAGCAAAACAGCTTGAAGGGGACGAATGTCCATTACACGTAAAACATCCACCGACGGGAGAAGAATTCGCGCTTGGCTGTGGCATTTGTCGCAATGCGCATACTTTCTAAAAATCTACAAAAATACCATTACGATTCGGCACGATGAAAGTGGTTCTTGAAACTTTGTTGAACCTTATCGATGGCAGTATATATTCATATGACTAACCGGGTACATAGTTTGGTATAAGCATCCTCATAATTATGAATACGTGTCTCTAAGTGCTATGTGTATATTGATTTTTAAGAATTCTTATAATGATCGCAAAAGTGGAATTGATGCAATATAGCGATGCAAGGGAAATCAAATAGACAAAACTGAATCTAGCTACAATCATAAGTGAAGATCCAATGACGCGCGAAACTATAATATTTGTTAAGTATTACGTAAGTTGTTTTTATCGGTGATTATAGAAATTCTTGAAATGTGTAGACGCGGAAGAAAAAGAGCGTGTGTGCACATTAAACTTCCATGCAAAGCTAATTAAGAGAAGCTTGCACACGTGCATAAGTCATACAAAGTGTAGTGATGTTTTGGTAAAGTATTCTAGGTATAAGATAATGTTTAAAATAATATATAAATAAAAATAATATAATTCTCTACGCTAAAAAAGAAGTATTTAATTATTATCGGCAATGATCCTAATAAATTGTGTACGTAGGTAATTATGTATGTGAAGGAAGTGTGTTATTTAAAAATGCGAATTCAATTCCGAAGAATACATAAATCAAATAGGAAGAAAGAAAAAAACAGTCGAGATCCGAATGAATAATTACGATCTGTGCTATATACGTTAACATTTGCATTATTTAGTATAGTCGCGAACTTTGCATTTATCATGTTTTACATTTTTCTTTGTTTTTATACTTTTCCAAAGGAACGTGCTCTCATATCGCAATTATTTATTTATTGAAACGAATCATTGTACTACGTGCTGTTTGCGAAATGTTTCAGAATCATTGTTTATATTCATATGGAAATGAAATGTGTGAACGATAATTGCCAAGTGTCGATTGTTGTTATTTGTGTTTTGACTTAGTACAGATTAAATGAAAGTAATGATCGTGACAAAAGATATAGTTTTTATTACTCACCTCTAATTTCGTGGCGAACGTGAACGGCCGTTATTCGAACATGGCGTCGGGATGATTCGAGAATCAAAATCAGCGCACTTTTCGACTGCCGACTGATCGATCCAAGATGGCGGCGAGCAACAGCGCCCCAATACGGCAGTTTGCCTTAAGCAGTGCGAGGTGTAACGTGTGTGTGTGCGCGCGATCCTGACGTTTTTCGCCTTGATCAACGGTAAGTAGCCTTTATTTACGAGTCGTGCAACAATAGTTATATAATTTCCGAGTCGCGTGAGTTATGTATACTCATCCATTGAACGGCTTTTGGCGGGAAACGTGTGCTTTCTGGTGGGAAACAGATCGAGCAAGCGCTTAGTTGGAGATGATCTCCTACGCACGTTCGTGCCATCCTGCTAGCACTACTGTCAACTCGCTATGTTTATTTTTACCACGAATTGAAGCCAATTACAAGCCGGGCGACGGCTTAATTGAACGAAATTACACAAGTTCTTCCTTCAAACGAGTACTTTCCAGTCACGATTTACGTGAATTTCAACATGTACCGATCGATTCTTCGCGAGAACTTTTGAGAAAAGCAACAGACAGATCAACTGTGTGCAGACAATGTTCTTACGCGCATAGATTGCTCCATTGACTCACATTCCCGGAATATTTCATCAAAATTAGATTCTAGGGCCGCAGAATCTTCTGCCAAGTTGTCGTCTGCTGTGTCGATACTTAACCTCACTTTGTTCACTTAACACGAAGTGCCCGTCAAGTTATAGACATAGACGCGTTCGAGGCTAAGTGGTCCTTGAATTCGGGCAGTCGATATTGTCTATAGATTGCAATGTCTTTCAGTTTCGTCGTCTAAAACGTTAGAAACGATAGAGCTTTGATTCGGAACTCGTATTCGCGAGCGTCTCTTAAATTCGTCCAAAAATATCCAGTGAGCGACGGAGAGAGTCCAGTGCGTTTCAAAATTTTAATATTAACCAACACGTCCGATGAATCACAATTGAGATCAATGTCGTAAGTGAAATTCCTGCGATAGATTACTGTTTCGCGTGGTGGATACAAATGAGGTGAACCGTGAGGCATGTTTTGTTTTTGCCTATGTGACCCAACTATCAATAAAAATATATGAGTCGAACGAGGAAACCATTGACCTCTTTGTATACCGAATGTGTTCATACTCGAACATGTCCTGACACGATTTGACGCGTTCGTATCAAAACAGCCGGTCGCTACGACGACCATGGCATTCCAGTTGGAAATACGCTACGGTGAGAAACGTTTAGATTCACGTGAAACTGGTTTTAAACACGTGTGCACCACGCGGTCTAATGCATTTCACGCATTCGAGCGTCGAGCACGCGCCTGTCGCTCACGTTGCAAGTCGTTCTACGCACACAATCATCCGACAAAGTGCACTTTGTCGGCGACAATGAATGACTCGTTCCCGTCTGCTTCCGTTTTCTCTGGAAATGGCATTACTCGCGCCTGTGAGCCAGCTGGAGATCCGTAAGTAACCACAGATTACTTTATAGCGTTTCATTGCTTTTATTTCATTCAATGTAGCTACACTCCTATAATTTTTCTTTTTCTTTCGTATATATATGTATGTCCTTCTATATGTCTGTTCATTCAATCTCACATTGATCATTACGTTCTTTATGATCGAATGAAAGTGCTATTCAAGAGTCACATTCGCGTTCAATTAATCTGATGACCCGCGTTTTATGAAATCCGAATGCCAGTGGTCGATGGTCAACACGACAGTAATCTCTATGATTACTGCGCGGCTTGGAACACCATTACGATCGAAGTTAATATCACCGGTACCCTGGAAAACCAGTTTCAATAAGAATTCATCTTGTCCCGTTATTTTTACTGAATCGTATGCATTGCATCAGTGCCATATGTCGTGGCCGATACATGCAAGATGTGCCGAAAACTTACGTAGAACTTTCTTCGTTTTTCACCGAAATCGTCGTTAAATTTGAACATTATTAAACACACGTTTGCCGTGGATTTTAATTTATCTGATTATACGATGAGTTTAAGACAGTATTTATTGAACATTTTTTCTTTCCTTATTTTACGTACGGGGTAATCATTTGCATGTGCCAAAAGGTATTATTTTTTTTATCTTTAATTAACATGCAAATATTTTAGATTAAAAGTTTTAAATTAAACGTGTGTCGTTTTTTAGTACATTACGTGTCTTCCGGGTACACGAGAGATTTTTAAAATTCTTATATAAGAAATAAAAAAAGAAGCAAGCGCGTTTGATAATTTCTTAGAATGATTAAAACAAGATGAATGTTAGCGACAAAAATATTTTATCAATAGTATAAATTTATTGTGCTTCCAATGCAGTTTTATTGTAACAATATTTTCTAGAAATTAAATATTCCTACGCACAGGCCAAATGTGTAAATATCGCGTGATAGTCGACGTATAAATTAACTAAATTATCAAGCCCGTTCCTGCTGCCAATCTTTCCATCTTCATCACTATTTCTTATATCAAATTCCAACTGTCTAAAATTATTCATTCGCAATTCTACACGAGAATATTCTCTTTGCACATCGCGTATCACATACACCGTTCTTACCTTCAAGATTAACGTCTATTTTAATTAAACACTTCCTATATTCCTCCAAGTCTCTAACGGCTCGGATCTATGAGCTTGCGTGTTCGTCTAATCACACAGCATACATTATGCTTCATCCGATCAGATAGACAAACCGTCATATAATTTTCATTCTTAATTAGAAATTTCCATGACCTGATTTGGCGTGGATTAATCGTGAAATTCTATTTATTTAGTTGACGAAATTGTTGAAGCTTCATCTTTGTTACCGAATCAATTGAATATTTCGATTAATGATGCTAATCAATGATGCTTCCGTCGCGAGGAAGCATTTTTATTCCTCAATAGAGGCTCTATGTATCCATAGATTCGTTCGGAATTTTTGAACGCGTTCCTTTTTTCTTTTGCCTTTTTACCCTCGTCGCGTTAGAAAGTTGAAAACGCGCCATTAACGCATCGTTGGACATTTCGAGTGCATTAATTGGATGCGTGTCGTCCACAGTGAAATGAATGGGTCGAGATAAAGAGCGATTCGAGGAAAAAATGGTACAAGAGGGAGATAGAATTGCAGATAGGTAAACAGGGTACATCAAATAGATATAATTGTTTCATAGAAAAATCTGTAGAATTGTGTCTGTATGTATAATTTCAAACTAAAATATATTTTAGCTATAAAAGCTTGTGGAAATTGCTAACAAAATCTTTTGTAGATATATGAGGCTACCAAAAGAAAATTCAAAATTAATAACTTTTAACTAATGTATTAGATATTTTTGTATTAATAACAGTCATCTGTTCGTTATAAAATTAATAACTTTTGTATTAAATATTTTTGTACTAATAACAGTCATCTGTTCGTTATAAAATTAATAACTTTAGATATTTTTATATTAATAACAGTCATCTGTTCGTTATAAAATTAGAGATTATTTCATGCTATTTGGTTTTTAAATTCTTTTTTTGTCAATCACCGTACACTGTCGCTTAAAAATTTGGAGTATCCTTTATTTTGTGGACGGAACAAACTTTTCTAAAAATATTTTTCTGAGGAATAAGAATTTTATAATTACAACTTTGGTCTCTAAATATAAATAACAAAAATAATACGAATAAAATTTTTATTTACTTGAGTGTTATTTTTTTTCTTTTTTTAAATCTTAATGCTCTAATTTTTTGAATGTATACATTACTTTGTAATAATATAAATAGATATAACAATATAATAAGGTATACTTATATTGTTTTTGGAGAAATAATAATATAAATTTGGTCAAACCACAGAGAAATAAATAGGAGTCACCATGAATTTTAATTGAAACAAAATAAAAATCTCATAAAATTATATAGAAGCTCATAAAATTACTTAAATTAAGATTACCATCGGGAATCTTTTAACCACGAATTCCTCGATGTCAGGCATGCTCGGAAAGAAACGTGATATCTCAAAATATTTCAATTCTAAAAAAAAAAAAAGAAAAACGAAAAAAAAGAGCAGAGGCCGAATACAAAAAAAAAAAAACCGGGCAGTTTCAGAGGCCGAATTTCAATGAGAAACGAGTTCGTCGAAATGAACTTTCGATCGCGAATTAATTCCGTTTTAGGTTCGTTGGAGAGAAACTCACCGTTGGATTTGGTTAACGGATTCGGTATGCAGGTTATATCGAGTGGATTGTTCGAGGGCTCAATTGAAGCGGTATCACTCGGCAGGATCGCAGACGTGTATTTAAATCTCGAGAGTTTCATCGTATTCAGACTGTGACAGCGCACGGCATATTGTAATTGCGTTAATTCTCCGTCAACGCGTGCGCTCTCATTACCAAGATTAACGGCCTTTTAATTGCGCTGGAAGGTATTTAAGGTCGCGTCCGCCGGTCTGGTCTCCTTCCGACAAGCTTAATCGCCCTTTTCTGCCGCTACACGCTTCCCTCCTCTTCTCCTCTGTTCCGTCGACCTCCACGTATGCAACAATCTCCGCGATTCCGACGTTCAAAGAAACCTGGCAAACGTATCCACGTGGAAAATTGTTGAAATTTTCATCCCAGATGAACACGATTGTCGGCAGTTTCAAACGAACATGCACGCAATTAGTCTACCTTCGAGGAGGAACGAAAGAAAGGATTCGATAAGAGACCCAATAACGAGCGACAAAAATTCGCGAGTTTCAAATACCGTGCGTTGGACACCAGCGGGTTTTTAAATATCGGGTTTTTACATTCGTTGTCATTTCGAACCGGTTGAAAACGACAAGCGACGTGTCGTGACCCGCGAACAGTGTCCTCGAGCATCGAGCGGACCTCGCAAGCCAAGATCAAGGCCGGATACCGATCGTGGTGAAACTCGCCAATGATTCGCGGCGCGAGCGCAAAATTCGCGCGGATACCGCGGCCGAAGCGGCACTGTGCGCCCGTCAAATAGATAGAAAGAGAGAAAGCTCGGAAAGACTCGCTCACGCGTGCACACAGGTGCGTGGAGCCAAGGTGAATGTGCCTTGAACGCCGTCGAGCACCTCAGTCGTATCTTCTTCCTCCTTCCATCAACACTGCAGAGTAGACGGTGCATCGGTGGCTCTGCGTGCTCGCGTGCCGTGTTCTCCGACACGACGTTGTTGCTCGCTTCACGGATCACCCTTTGATCAGACCAACCACCGGGAACGCTTGTTGCATCTACCGAACCTGTCAAACAATCCAAGTCTGAAAGAAACCTGGGATCGAAGAGCAAAAGAGAATTACTCGTAGCGAACTGCCCTTTGAAAGCGCGATTCAGCTTCGAGACCGTTCCTCGCGATCGTTTTATATTTAGGGGGATCGACGCGTTTTTGTGGAAGCACGGAATACTTTCGTGACTCGAGGATTCTCGACGAACGGGCACTCGAAACGATAAATTTCACGCGCCAGGAGATCTACGTTGGCAGTGTAACTCTATCGAGATTTCGAGATACTCCATCGAGTTCGAGAGATACGTGTTAGTTTTAGGCGACGAACGTTCATTGGAAATGACGTTCGCCGCACATAGTCGTGCATTTCTGCGAGACAAGTATCTCGGATTGCTAGACAGTTTCGTGACAGAGACGGGGAAGTAGTTGGTAACTGACCTAGGGTCGCGCAGCTTGATGAATATTGAGTGACGAGTTGATTCGTTGGAACGCTCGTGAACATCAGCTCTTCGCTGCTTCACGAGCTAATCTTTCGCGCGCTGTTAATTAACGGCATCGTTAGCCCTTCGTTTCCATGCCGGCTACGCGAACTTCCGTGTAAATGTGTCTCGGAAACGATGATTGATAACGCTCTCGGACGCTGAAATCTGTCAGTGTTTGCCTTGCAAATTGAAAACGAGGATCCACGAGTGGATTCTGAAACTCAATGCGTTCTTCCTCGATTTTTCATTCGGAAGTGATAGTGGATACTGTCTGTCGGTGTCTGGAAACAAGATTTTCGAAATAGAAACACTTGGTCAGCGACGAGATATGGGAGAGGAGCTTTACCATGGTCGTCGTGGCTTCATCGGCGATCACTGTGGTTGAGGATTTTTCCAAAGACACCTTAGGAAGGTACAGTATCATTTGTCTTTCTTCAAATGGAATATTTCAAATATTTTTCAACAGTATTTCATCTCCTTTCCCTCTTTAACTCCGCTTTCAGACATTTTCGATCGAATTACATATATTTTTCTAATGTTAAAAAGTGTCTCATTGTTTGAACAAAATACGAAGAAATTCTGATTAGTACGGATGACTTCTTAAAATTGTATTTTATGTTAAACATTTTCTCAGAATTTCTTTCTGTACGTTAAACAGAGTATAAGATAAAAATATGAGAATTTGTAGATCGTGTTAAATACGACTTAATTAGTAGGCTTATGCTTTTCAGTCAAGTTTTCGAAAAATGCACGAAAGTGCTCGACGCTATTAGAAACGTCAGCGTAGCTAACATAATCGTTCGTACAAACCGTAGAGCCATAACGCACGAACGTTTTTAGTTAAGTTTTGCTTGAGTTACGCCGAATTACGCTAACTTCCTCCCCTTTAACTCGATAGATGCACGAAATCTAACGGACAGACTGAAAGAAGCTGCGCTTCGACGTTACGTAGGGGTTTCACGGTGTTGCACCGCAAGAAACGACATTATTTCACGGTATTGTTGCCGCGTCGCGCGAACAATTTCGTTCAAACGACTTCCAGGCAACTGTGGTCTAACCGATTTAAATTTATCGTCGGTAGAAAAACAGCGTTGCACTCGAGAGCATTCCATCTCGCGCGAAGTTGTTTTTGTCGTGTACGAGTTTGCCTGAAGTATAGCACACCGGATTGCAAAATATTCGGCTGGAGTGAGACTTTTTTAAAATTTCTGGAATTTCACGGAAAATTAGAGTTGTTTTTTTTTGGTGAAAATAATTAAATCTGATAGTAAACTTGTATACATTTTAAAAGTGAGGTTTATCGTAGAGATGACATGAAGAATCGAATTGTTTAATGGCTTGAATACGTGTTACTTGGTCTCATGGATTCTCTAGGCACTTGTATCGAACGTAATGGATAATATTTTAAATACTCTTTAAATTAAACATCAATTTTCAGCTTTAACTCACTTGAAATAGCCTCATTTGGATAAAAGATTGTACAGTCCGAATATCCACGCGTTTTCATCCTTCGAAATTCGAACAAAAGTAACGCGGACGAACGCTTTTTAGGTCGGTGAAATTCAACGAATCTTTCTCTCCGTACAGTCGCTGGTACAACGATCGAAAGTACATTCGATCGTACTGTTTAATCACGATCTCACTTGAAATCTTGCAGACGAAGGTCGCCACGAACTTGGCCTCGTTCTTCGAAATCGTTCGTCTGTTTCTTTCTTGGTTCTCGTTTGTCTGTACACACCTATAAAACCTTCCTCGTTTATCGGTGTGTCGCTCAACCAAGAAACACCGGATAGGACTCCGAAATATCGATCTCCGGTTGATTCGACTTTCCAAGTGCCTATTTATTTAATTGCCTACCTCTCACGAAATCGGCGAGTAACGGTGGATACGTAATCTGTCGATTCTTTTTTTTTTTCGCATTTGTCAGTGGAAATCCATTCGGTACGTGGAAACATGTGAGTTATCGCCGGTCAGTTATGCGATATCGCTATGTTTTATAAGCATGGTGTAGTTCTCGTAAGATTTATATTCTCATTACGTGATATTGAAACGTTTTACAAGCGAATTTTTTTTTTATTTTTCTTTGAGCATGTGCCTATTTTGTACGCGCAAAATCTTTACATATTTTTAGCAGATGCAAGAATTAGAGTATAGAGGTCAAATCTCTAGGGTACAAACAGATGAAAAATAGGTTATGTTTACAGTGGATGTATGATTGTAATGAACTATTGTTCTGGCGATTGAAACATCTGAAAAACGATGTATACTCATAAGAATCTACAAATAACGTTTCTCATTTTTACAGAAAGAGCATGTTTCCTCTGTAAACTTTTCAAAATATTGTGCAATACTTTTGTATAAATTATTTAATTTACTGAAATTTTAAATTTTAAATCTCAAGAAGTTTCATTTCACCGTAGCTATTTTTTTGAAGACTCACTTCTTTGAACCTGATAGATTGTCATTTTCAATTGTGCCAGTCGAATTCTCTCGTTTGATTCTAAAATTAAAATTAAAATCAGAAATGGTGTCTCATTCTTGTGAAATTCATACACTCCTTTGTAAGTATAGTTCCACGATTTTTGTCGAGGCACCGGTTGCTAAGAACGAGCAAGATAGAGCTATTTGTTCAATACGAATCGCGTCGATACGCGTGTTTACGGGAAATCAGTATACACGAAACACTGCGACAATGAATCATTGATAAAACACACGATTGTTTGTTTGACGATTACATGTACTAGATTAAGTCACAGTGTCTGCCGTGCGCGATGATTTCTCAATTTTATATCATAATTTCATGCAATCTATTATCAGCATCGTGAATAATTTCAACGTCAGTCGCGGGAAGGTAATAAATTACAGTCGAAGAAGGATTCAGTTATATCAAAACGGTATGACTTGTTGAATTCTTGTTATTGATTTTTTGATATTTAAACTCATGAACGTATATTAATAATTCACAATGATTTTCCAAGATTGGAATATATACTTCATTGTTATCAGTAGATTACGAAGGTAAAAAATTGGAAGTAGAATGTATATAATAAAAATGTTTGTTTTTTAAAAAAGGATTTCGATTCGTTAAGAATTTATTGGAAATTTAATTCATTTATATTATCAAATTCTATCTTTCAATTTTATTTTTTAATTTTATTTTCATTACATATATATATTGGCTTGATCATCATTTCTTCCATCTAGATTTGTTAATTTTATAAAATTCAAAGATATTTATAATATTTCGATAAATTATTGCTCTTAATCATCTTCAAAATGAATAGAAAATCAGAGATAGTTTTGACTTTCTGAGTCGAGGAACTTGGATAAAAATTTCCAAGTCGCAATTTTATTTCGTTGCCTTTTACTCGAGTAACGGTATAAAATAAAAGAAAAAATGAATCGGAAGTGATACAGGTATAACGATCATTCTGCAATCTATTGATATTCCGAGCTGTATCCGGCACAGAAACAATTTCCTGTCCGCTTGTCTCGTCCCATCCTTGTTCACGATTTTCCATCAGGAGGCGCGAGTTGCTGCGTGGTGTACTTTGATATTGAAAGGGGAAATGTCGAAGATGAGAAGAAATCGACGTAATGGATGAAAGCACATGGTCAATTAAAGGAAGCAGACAGTCCGAAATGAACGTTGATCTGCGAAGCATTGTAGCATTGAAGCCCAATAGGATGCCATGTAAATGGCAGTACAGTCAAAAAGAAGATAATTACACGTGAAAATATAAGTCGAGAAGAAAGAACAAAATTCCCTTCGTTCTGGAAAAGATTGAATTTGAAGAATTGTCACTAGACTTCTATGCAGATCCATACTTTTTTCCGAACACAATTAAATTTTCATCCTGTGTCGATTACGTATTCTCGAACTCAATTTTCTAGGAAACAAAGTCTTAAATGAAGAAATGTAACCTTTCTTCTTCGACTTACTTTTACATGACATCCTGTATATATATTTACATTGTCCTCTTTCGATTTCATTTCTTCATAATAATTTATAACATTAGATCGAACAATTGAGAATAAATGTTCAAACACAGTCGTGTACTGAAACTTTTATAAAAGTAATTAGTTTAAACTTTTGGTTCCTGGGTTTTGTTCGCTCAGTAAGTGAACACTGACAACTTTCATTTGTCTCGTTTGCTTTCATTATTAACACGTCTGATTCGATTCTCTCGTTCGATTCAATGTCTCCTGTTGAGGAGAATGTACATAAAGAGTGAGAAATATAGTCTCCTCTCGTTCATTAATATTTCAGTATTTCAATCGAGTTTCTTTATTAAGATGCTTCGAAACCAATGAGGATTTTCTATTGTATAATTGTTTGTCACGTGTTTTAATTGTTGAAACAACGATCAGTGACAGATAAATTATCAAACGCGTTTCTGTAAGAAATTGGCTCGAGAAAAGTCCCCTTTGCTTATTAATCAGTCTCACTTTCATCGTAAAACTGCCGTCGACAGCTGGTCGCGAATAATTTCCTTACCCTCGCGCATCCATAATCGCATCGCATTGTTTAATGCCGAAGATTAATGTATAAAATTTGCATCAGAGAAATTAAAGGAAATTTATAAGCTTTACGAAAAAATCTAGAAAATTTCTATGAAAAATTAGAGCTCTCATCGGAGAAACGAAGATGCAAAGAATAGGAAAGAAAAATAGTTTATTTGTATATTTCCCGAAAAAATCGTTCAATTCTCCAGAAATAGAAATTTGTAAATCCATAAAACTTCCACGGAGAATTACCAATAGGTCATTTTGACCACTCTGGTAGCTCTAACGTTGAAAGCGCACAGGTGCAGGTTGTAAAAGGTCGCCGAGCGTAATCGAGCGAATAATGATACGAGCGCGGTTGCTACTCTCCACCTTTGCTCCTACCTTGATTCGAACTATTCCGCAAAAGCTGCATTCAAGGGGGAATACCGAGGAAAGAATACAAGAAGTCGCAATGTATATCTATATATTTCTTAATCTAACGGAAGTTGGCTGCGAGCAATGGAGTTTAGCGCGTAGGTGAAGGTCAAAGAAAGGTCGGAGAGACCGGTACACCATGTGAGAAACATGGTCTCATGGCTAACGATGCTTCTTCTTAGAATTCTCAGCACTATTGTAAGGGTTCGTAAACCTAATCCAAACCATGCTCAATTGGAAGATGACAAGTCAACTCGTCGATGGAAAATTGGCAAATCTTCAAAGTAATGTGACGAGTTGAACGTATGTATCTTGAACGCTGGCAAAGTATTTTCTAGTTAACTCGTTATCTTCCAAGAAGATTAAATCACGTTTATCACCATGTTGAAAGTTGTAGACGTGTCTCTACATTGGTAACTGATAGTTCCATCAAGACTGTTGGAATCGACCGTTCTTTCACCGAAAGGGGGAGGACAGGGGAAGTAAAAG